ATCTATACTAATATTATAAAGAGGTAATGTTTGTAAGTTTGGATGTAGCGGGTAATCTCCGAAACTACTCATCCGATTTCAAAAATTCTTTCACCAATATTTAGAATGGAACTTCAGGGTGGACATAGGCTGCATATTATTCTGGTAAACATTCATATAAATTAAAAGATAACATCTATTTTTTAAAGGCTTTTATGTCCAACAGATGGCGCTGCGAGTACAACGCCATAAGTTTGCTTTTCTGTGAGGCATTATGCTTTTCTGTGAAAATGAACTAAAGCAGATCATCTTCTATCTATCTATATAAATAAAAATGTAATGTTCGTTTGTTCCTACTGATTCCTTTGAAATTTTGACACAACACTGCATTCAAATAAGCACGTGTTTTTATATAATATACATGTCGAAATTACCCCCACTGGGGGGAGATGGACAGGATTAAGGCTTACCGTAATTCATTATGTGCTGACATTATGTACAACATTATGTGCTGACTATTCTTGATATTCAGACAATTTACATTGACCACTACATAAAAGAACTCTGCTTCTATTTATACTATTTTAGATGCGGTTTTTTGCATTTTTGATTGCATTTTAATAGGGTACACTAAGAAGGGATTTTTCGAAAAATTCCCCCCCACAGGGGAAGTGTTATATATTTATAATAGATACATTTTGAGCCACAACGAGTGGCGGGGTCTGCTAGTAAACAATAAAGAAGTTTAGATCTTAACAACTTTTTATATGTAAAAATTATCATAATCTTTACATCTAAAGATAATGATAACCAAATAAATATTAATTTATATAATTTATTAAATATTAATTTATATAAATTTACATATTAAATATTATCTAGATATAAAGATTACATATGCCTGAAAAGTTTGCAGATATAAAGATTATGATAATCTTTATATCTGCAAACTTTTCAGGCATATGCAATCACCAGATATTAAAAATTTAACATATTCATTTAAAATGTTCATTCAACACACATGTAACTTGGTATTTAATGAACAATGAATATGCAGTTGAATTCAGAAGGCAAAAGTTTTCTGTTCTTAATTTCAGACATGATATATTATATATTTTAAGAAAATCTGCCAAATTTAAAAACTTTTAAAACAATTCAAGTGTTATTGGGCTGCAATTTGAAAAAAATTGTACACCTATAAATTTTCACTATTGTCATTCTGTTTTTCCTTAATCTCAAGAACACAGTTAGATAAATGAAAGACAAGACCAGAGACAGGAGCCCTGATTAACTTTATATGAATGAACTTCTGGAAGTCACATTATTTCAAATCAAAAATTTCCCCCTGAAAAGTGTTAGATAGATGACCAGCACACCTCTATTGTTAAAGGAAAAATATGATGTACAGGGGCAAGACACTATAGTACTAATTTGAGATGGAAAGCATATATTTTTAATTTATTTAATTTAATTTCTTTTGTAACAAGCAATTATTTATTGTGATGATGTCACAATAAATAATTGCTTGTTTATAAAAAGGTGAAGAGTTGAAAGAACTATGAAGTTATATTAATATCATGCAAATATTGTAGTATCATAGTTAATATTGTAATAATGACTAACAATATAAATACATATTTGTTCTAAAATCCAAATTTGGACTGTATACATTATTTTTTTTAACTAAAATAATTTAATTCAAAAGACTTTAATCAAATTTTTTAATGTCAGAGAGATACTGTTTGTTGAAATACCTCTACATATATAATGATATATCAATTCTTTTACTTATAAATCTCAGAAAATTTACATAATTCAAATTAAAATTTATTAGCATATTTTGGAATTAATCCAACTACCAGGGGATTACATTAAATTAAATCTCCACAAATAAAAGTTGAAAAGAGATAAAATACGGTTTCTGTGATGTTGAAAATTTTTTTCCATATCATATGTATATACAGAGTTATATTAATAAGTGTAGATTTGAGCCCTGTTTTCTATTTTGCTGCTATGACCCTCTAACAATTTAAAATATTTGTTGAAAAAGTTATATATTCTTGTTATCATGGTTGGACCCATTTGAAATAACTTAGAATACAGTTCCCCCACAGATTTGTACATAGTTAAAGTAGAAATACCAAACTGTCCTCTAAGATTTGTACATTCTTTACATATACAAATTAAATGATAAATAGAAAATTGATCAAGACACATTATGTGCTGACTATTCTTGATATTCAGACAATTTACATTGACCACTACATAAAAATGTTTAATCTAAGCTGCATATAAAATATTTTCATCTTAAATGGAATTTGAAAATTATATAACTTAGAAGGAGAAAAACTTAAATTGTTAATATACCATAAATGAAATTTTGGATTCTGTAATTTTTTCATTTCTTGATCAATTGAGTTATTAAACATATTTACAACTAATGTAGCAAATCCAAAGTCCCAATCCACCTAGTTCTGTAACATTAAATATATAATATACAGTAATACCCCAAACTTACGCGATAGGTAGGACCGAGCGATGACCGCGTAAGTTGAATTCGCATAAGTCGAAGTATAATTTCGCAATTTGTGTAAAATCCAAATCGGATGTATGTAAGCTAATAAATGTTCTCATTAACCTTATCTCATCTTTTGATTCGTTCACGGTTACAAGAAATCACCACATAGAGTCTCTCGAGTCTCAATAGATATAACAAACACAGAAATAAATAACACAAAATAAATTGTAGCTATGTGTCGATTCCGCGCAACATGTCCGAACATGTAAGCTGAACAATAGTATGAGGGGAGTGAGTAATCAAGAGTTGCGTGGCACTCAAACAGAAGACAAATCGACGAAATTTGAAAATCGCGTAATTCGGGGTAGTGTAAGTCGAGGTATTACTGTATATGATATCCCATATCTTGCCAACATAAGACTAAATTTAATGTACCAATTATTAGTGTAACTCCTAATCAGCTAATCTTTTAAGCTCTTCCAATATGGTATTTATCAGTATAGTCTTATCATTGGTCACTCTTTTATAGAACTTCATGATCCTTATTACCATGAAAGGCTATAACTGTAACTTATTAGTGTCGTGACAAATCGCATAACCAGGTAGTCCTGTCCAAACAACAAATTTTCCTAATAAATAATAATTGAATTTTCTCAAAGTGAGACAGCCAATTCATGTCCCATATTAGAAGGACATAACATATCAAGTTTATCATTACTAAAGAAAATAACTGAAACTTATTTTGTATTCAATTAATTTGCATTTTAGCCAGAAGATAAATTAAATTATTTATTATTCTAACTGCTTTGCTCTTTACTTGCTGGAAATGTTTTCCAAATGATAATGTCACAGTGAATTGAATTCCTAAGTTTGAAATTTCATCAACTTCCTTTAATTTATCATTTATAAGATAAAAATCATAATTCTGCTTAGCTATTCTTCCTCCTTTTCAAAATATAAGGATCTGGGGTGTTTTGGGTTAATTTTCATTTCTAATTGGGAAAAATATTCTTGCATTCGATTTAGTTTCCTTTGTAAACCAATTTTTGTAGCTAAAATTAAAACCACATCATCAGCATATTGAATTGAATGGACTAACTGATTTCCCACTGAGATTCCATCTTCCCAATTAAACTGCTTATCTATATCATGGATCATTCCTGTAAAAAAATCCAGTAGAATTGTTTCTAATTTATTGACTTTCTGTTCTAAAAACAGAAAGTCAATAAATGAACCAAGCTTGGTCTTAAAATCTTTAATATTCAGATGAATCAAACTTTTCAATATGCAAATTTTCTTTTGGCGGTTAAAACAGAAACCTGTTTTAACCTCCAAAAGAAAATTTGCACATTGAAAAGTTTTTTTACTTTTTGCTATGCTATTTCATATACTCCCCCTTTAGATAAATAATCTATATTATCTTTATCATATCATAACATTTGAAGATGCAGATTCTATTTAGTCATAATTTTAACATTTAACATATTAAAATTCATATATAATTTTGATATTATTTTAAAACCATTTCAGTATATTTGATTTTACAAGAAAATCTAATAGTGAAATTTAACATTAAAATTTTAAACAAAAACTATAAAAGTTTGACAACAAAATTATAATAGTAAAATATAATTAATCAAATTTTGAACACCTACTTCATCTAATAAAGCTTCTTCAACCATTTCATCATAATCCTCATCTTTTCTTTTCTCTTGTCTTTCTTGAGCACGCTCAAAATGTTCCTTGAGCTTTTTGTCTAATATTCGAATCACATCAGTCATCTGTAACTCTGGTAAACATCCTTTTCCCAATACTTCAATACACTGTCAACATATCAATTCAACAAAAGAATTAAGTTCTATTCAAATTTAATAAATATATTCATGAAAAAAAGTGCCAAGAAAAATCTAACACACTTTTCAGTTTATTTAAAATAACAAAACACTAAATATTTTTGCTTAATTATCTCTGGAATGTGAATATCAAATCTCTTACAAATTAGTATGTTTAAATCTAATTAATTAAGAAATAAATAGAATATTAATTTTATTATTAATATATGGCAATTTGAATATGAATTTAAAAGCTTATTTAATACATTTTTTCCCCTGCAATAACAGTACTATTATTATATTTCTATTTATGAACTAAAATTCAATTTTTATGATTTTATACAGTTAACATCATGATGTAAAAATATAGGTGATACCGCTCTCCATTCAAGGATATTGGCAAAGTAGTTGATGCTTACTCAGGCATCCACCAGATGTTGCAATGATGTAGAAATCCAATTTTTACCATTGATTACCACTAGCAAAAATTGCTAATTGAACTCTTAATTTGTGTTAATTTCAATAAAAATTAGTGAAAATTATATAAAATGTAATCTAAAAGTAATAGAATACGTGTATAATTTTTTTAAAAATTATCATTAAACTGATATTTTTATATTCTAAAAAGGTTTAAAATATATATTACTTTAGCTATTGAAAGTTAAGCTTTTTAATTTTGTCCCCATAAAAGTTTTGTGATGTACTGTAAAATGCTTGTTAATTAAAGGTGTCCATTATTTAGAAGTGTCCTTTATAAACAGTTTTATTCTATACGCATTTGACAGCAGTTTTGGATTTAGCATATAATTATTTTCTGCAACAAATTTTAGTGTTATTTAGAATTTTACTATGCTATTAATTTATATATACAGTCGATTCAGTTAATTGGGGCAGCCACTTTATTTGATCAAATCTCAAAGAACAGAATCCAAACTAATAAATTAATACATAATTTAATCACTTAATTGGGACAGTAGCAGAAAAGTAATTTAGCAATTTTTCACATCTTCTGAAAATATGTAGATACTACGTACATTAATGTCATGTAGATCTAACAGTTGGCAGAGACAAAGTGATTTTGTCTTTCACTTGGGCAGTTTTGTTTTTCCGGAGGGGGTCAGCATAGCGGGACATATCACACAGGCGAACCTAAATGTGAGCTACTGACCTTGCTCCGGATTGGACTGGACAAGCCCCTTAAAAGCAAAGGGACAAAGATCCCCTGACAATTTTTCAAGGTCTCCAGACTGAGTTGGAAGACAGCTAGAGTTCTCTTGGAAGATATTGTGTGCATGGATATGTCTAGATTTGGACAACAGCCATCTGATTGTTGAGACCAGCATCCAGAGCTGGTAGATTCTATAGACAGTCCCGCCAAAGTGGCCCATCTCTAAGTAAAAAAAAACTGTGCTCAAAGGAAGACCATAAAATGACTTTTGGATGAACCCTTTCCTTTCTCCCTTTTTAGTTAGAACATGTTCTAACTAAAAAGAGAGAAAGGGACGATCGTTCCTTTCATGGAAAAATCGTTTAATCAGGAACAAATTGAATAGTCAACCATCATATATGTCACTACTAATACTGTATTTGGCAACAGTAGCATGATGCGAATCAGTTATCTATCATTGTGAGTCTGGCAAATTTATAGTACAAATATTTTCTGTATTTTGGTTTAATAAAGCATTAAAATAGGTACCTAATTATTATTATTTTTATCTATGTATTACATATTTTGTTTTAGAACTTATTAGCAGTTCATTTAATTAGGACAACGCTTAATTGGGCCAAAATAGATTAATCACAACATATCACAATTAAGCGGAATCAACTGTATATATATATATATATATAACATCAATAAACAAACAATAAAGAAATTTGGAATATTTTTGTTTCTCTTTTGAAATGTCTTGCAATTTCATGTTGTGTGTCTGGCAAATTACCTTAACCTTACAAGTACATAATATTTTACATTTCATTTTTATATGCTTTACATGGAAATGTGCTTCTGCAATGTCATTCAAAATGTCATCACTAAACATTTTGACTAATAATTATTGTTCAATTTGATTAAGCAGTGAAAAAAGAAAAGTACTTGAGTATGTAAATCTGTTTTTTGTTTTGAAGTTAGGCAACTGTGCCACAGATTGATAACTTTTATCTTTGGTCAATGCCTTAATACAAACTTCACAACTTGTAAAATGTTTAAAATTTTTTTGCAATAAAGCCAGTAACACAATCTCTTATGCATTCTAATACATCTGCAGATGCATAATCATGATCAATTATCTCATCACATTTCTAAATACTTCTCTCAATATGTCCATTCAATTTCTCTCTTAATTTTTTTAAGTAGGTAAGATCCTCTTTGGATTTCTTCATGAATGTTTTTTTTCTTCATAATGAACTCTCGATTTCTCATCAAACAGAATATGGCAAATACCAGATCTTGGTGGTTTTAATAGGGAATATAATGACAACAATATATATAGTTGCAAAAATCTTGGAAAAGCAGGATGTTTATTTTGACATCCAGCTCTTCTAATTGTCCCAAAAAACTACTGCAATAAAATATATTTGGTTATAATTTTTATACACAGCTGCAGAAAAAATAAAGCAATTAAAAGCATGTTTTAGGTTATGGATTAGTTAAATAGTTTATAAACTATAATAAAGATAATTAAAATTTTTTTTTTAAGTGCTTTGCTGGATTTAGAAAGATATGATAAACAATTTGGAAACAAACTAGGCACTGCATTCTTAGTTTGTCGAAGAGTTTTATAAGAAACACTAATGATTTTTTCCCCATCTTTATATACTCTCCACAAATGAAGAATTTAATGAGGAGCAAAATGCTTTTCACAAACATTGTAGCATTTAGTCAGTTCTCAATCTGCACATGGTATCTCTTGTTTCCATTTTTTAAACAATTCCAAATCTTTTGGTGCTGTAAGTATTTTACTATTTGTTTCTTTGAACAATAATTGCCTTTGCAATTATGCACATATCATTTAAAAGACATGATTTTGTAATAATTTCTTAAAAACACTGTTGGACAAAGCAATAGTAAATGGTAAACAATACAAAATGAACTTCCTGATAAGATGGCATCTGGTGGCAAACATCTGAAGTACAACCAAATTCCTGACAAGTTTTTGACAGTCAAACAATAGGAGTGGTATCACCTGTATTCTTACATGGTTAACATTATCAATGTTTTAAGAATAAAAACAGACAGACTGATCTTCTCAATATACAATAAAATTTTATTCTTAAAATATTCTATTCTATCAGACATCACACTTGTTTATCAATAAATGTGAGGATAAATTGTTGTGATAAATTGTTTTGTATTTGATTATAGCTCAATCATATAGTATATTTTGTTTTCTGACTGCCTGAGTTGTGTATTTGTATTGTGATTCCTGAGTACGTAATAGTATGTGTTTGTAAATGGAAGTTTTGATGTATTATATTTGATTACGTTGATGTATATAGCCAGTTTGTATTAAAAGCTTGCAACTCAATGTGATATGTTGTACAGTCTCATACATGATGTGGCATTTCCTTCAAGTTTCATCTGAAACTGTTCTGCCAATAAATTATATCAAGTTCATTTTATGAGGTTTATGTAGTTTCTTGTATTTATGACCTAGTCTTGTTTGGCAATCACAAACCTGGAGTCAGCCAGCAATGTGATGCATTTCTGACAACTGCAATCCTGACTGAGATCATTAGGATAGCTATTATGTAGCTCCTTCTGGATCCATAACTGCTGTATGCTGTCTCTTGTGAACTGGGTGAAATCCAAGTCAGTGTTGTGTACATTTAATGGTGTACAGTTAGAATTTTGTATAATTGTGACATTTCTTGTTTTTTCATAGCAAAACTCCCACGGTGTCTGTATTTGTTTATAGTAAAGATTCGCTATATTTGTGAGATCTCATTGAGGATGAGTCAGACTTTCTATGAATGACTTAAGATGATATTTCTTGTTTTTTTTTTCAATGTTGTTTGTATTTTCTTGAGTCATACTGAGACAACGTAAGTGCCAATTGCTTTAAATTCAATTGTGTTCTTAGCATTGAGTTTAATCTGTTTTATTCTTTCTTGGGCTGCAATTCTTAAATTGAAGACCTATAAATTCCTACTGGTATCTGTCCTTCCTTAATATCAAGAACAGAGTTAGACAAGTGAAAGTTTAGACCAAATATAAAAAACTTAGGGGCAGGAGGCCCCAGTTAACTATACATGATGTCTATGCATATTAACTATAAAGTGATTTCTGGTCTGGACCAGAAGTCATAATATTTCAATTCAAAAATTTTCTCCAGAACAGTTAGATAGATGACTGGCATAGTCTATTGTTATTGGGAAAAGTATGATACATAGAAACACGACACTACTAAAATGAAAAGCATATATTTTAAATTAAATAAATTAAAAATTGGAGCCTGGCATTGTGATGTCACAATAGTTTTGTTGATTTTTAGTCTTTGCTCTATTTCTGCATATTCTGTCAGTTTGGCCTACTGGAATCCTAAATATTTGTAGACTTCACCCTCATCCATGGATTCAATGACATTTCTGTTTCCAAGTACAAAATCCTCTTTTTTTTTTGTATTCCTTTTTCTGGAGTTTTCTGCATTTGTCTAGGCCAAATGCCATTTGAGTGTCAGCAGAGTAAGTGTGTGTAATTTCTAGAGTTTTGTTGTCCAAATACATAAGATGAGATAATATGTATTATGTTCTGTTGTGTTTCATATATTTGAAGTGTGTAATGTCATAATGTTGTAAATGCCAAAAAAGAAACTTTTCAGGAGAGGTATCCATTTTTTCTAATGAATAAATTCATTTCAACTGTACAATAAAATGGTAAAAAACTCACTGGGTTACAAATTCTCTGGAATATCAAAATGATGTAAATATAAGCCACAACGTTTTACACGCCGAAAGTCACATGATTTGTACTATGGCACTTTAAACATTACATTTTCGCATAAATTCTTCTTCAAAATACAGCCACTTACACTGCCAATATTGCCATAATATTCTTTTGTGGCAGAAAACATTGCATTTAGAATTCAATTCTTCAATAAAATGTATTTAGAAAAAAAAAGGCATTTACAATGTTATGGCATTGAATGCTTCATTTGTATTTAGTGTTCTTTGGCCTATTAGATAGTGGTTTTAAGGTTAGGTAGAATCAGATAAAAAAAAAATACACACAGGCAAGGGATTTTTCAGGGAGATGAAAGATTTTCTTGCCTATGTGTATTTGGTTTTCCTTTCATGCATGTTCTGAAACTGAAGTGTAGTGTTGTTCTCCAGTGATGCATTGCAGTTTTTAAAAATATAATGATGTTGGTGTATTTTGTATAGGTATAGTATTAGCAATAATCATAAGTGTAGAATGTAGCCAAATGCTTTAGTTTAATCTACATATGTTTCTATGTTGTTTGTGTTCTTGTTGTAGAATGAGAAAATCTATTTGTATCTCATGTGGTTTCTAAAACAGCCTATTTGTTGTTCCATGTGAATATTGTGTTGTTAATATATGTGTATATTTTGTTTGTGATGCAAGATATGAGTTTATTACTATTGATTTTATTAACTAGTTTATACTTGAATGCACATATGTCTCCATGCTATATTTTCTTTTAATGACCAGTAGCTATTATCTTTTATCCATTTTATTATGATTGTTCTATATTTCTCAAAACAACTGCAACTTTGCAGCTCAATGATTCTGATTTAACAAAAAATCTTTTATACATATAAAAATTTAATATGGTACTTATTTAGACAAGCATTTTTGAATATTTTAGAAATCAAAAACAGCATTATTAATATTTAAATTTAAAATAATATATTTTTGTACATACAGTAGAACCTCGATTATCCGCCCTAATTGGGTACTGGGGTTGGTCGGATAATTGAAAAGTCGGATAACCGAAAAGTATGAAAAAATTCATTATTAGTGTAGTATATTATTATATCCCATGTAATTAGTATATTAGTATATCGCTATTAACCTATTTTGCGTTGAATTTTCATCGATGTTAAGCCTAACAANAAAAACAGCATTTTAAATATTTAAATTTAAAATAATTATTTTTTGCATTTCAGAATGATAGTCAATAGCTATCATAAAAGAAAACAATATGATAGTTTTGCAATAACTATTAAATTACAGAAATATATATCCTATAATAACATTTGGACTTGGCACAGTATTCAAAGAGATGTGACAAAAATGCTTAATTCTCAAAACCAAATTTTCATTCAAAAGCATTTTTGTTCTTTTATAAAATCATCATCAGATGTGAAAATTATTAAATGTATAAGAATAAATACATTTGAAAGAGAGCACATCTTCAAGTTTTAACTTTATCAAATTTAAAAATTATACAACAAAAAATTAATAAAATAAAGTGAAATCAAAATAAAATAAAATAGAACAAAAACATTTTCTGAATAAAAATTTAATTTGGTTTCCAGAATTAAGCATTTTTCTCATCTCTTTATATAACCTAATTAATAAATGACATAAAATTGATAGACAAGAAAATGTGTTAATAGATAAAAAAATAAATAAATGTAATAAAATCACAAAGAAATTTGAACAACAACAAAATTTTTAGTACTTTATGAATAATTAAAATAATTGCTATTTTAGTTAAAAATATTTTTTTGATCTACTTTAACAGACAACAAATATATAGCATCAAATATTGTATTTTAAAAATAAATTTTAAATTACTTCTGCAAGAGCATGCATGTGATCAGAAAGCACTTCTTTTTCAGGTTCAGTATCAACAGCTCTTAAAAGTTCTGGGCAAACATATCTCCACATTTCAGCAACATAGGCTTCACCTCTAATCTTTGCACATTCTAATAGAAATGGTAAACCTTCTGCAGCAGCAATTCTAACACTTATAAATTATTAAGGAAATTAAATGTCAGATTTTTAGTAGATATTTTTAGATGTTAATTCATTATTTTACAAATTGAAACCTTCAGACATTTTTGACTTATCTACATCAACAATAAAAAGAAAAAATTCAGCTTATAGTAAGAATTCAAATTTAACAAAAAATATATGCACCGAATTATTCAATTTGAAATCAATCTTACGTTGAACTTCTAAGAAATTTTCATTTAAGGAACATTCATTTTGTAATAATGGATCCATTCCTTAAAAGTTATTAATAAATATTTATTTAAAGAAAAACAAATTTTCTATATATATAAACATACAGGTCTATTGTTGGTGTATTTTAATATGAGAAAACAAAATTATGTAAAAAAAAATTAGAAATAATGATAATATAAAATTAAAACGTTTAAAACAACTTGGTGTTTTTCAGTGTTGTTTTTTCATATCAGATAATTAAAATTAGGTAAAAGATTTTGATAAAATAATTATATTTATATATACAGCTAGTCATAGACTTTTGGACAACTTGCTCTGTTGTACATGATATTTTTAATACCTTTAAACTCTCTTTTTATATGCCAAATTTGCAAATAAATTCTTTGTTACATGTCAAAAGATATGAATGAATGAAACCATTTTAAATAAAAATAATTATAAAGTAAAATTTGAGTAAAGAGAACTTGGGAAAATCAGAGTTATAATAGTGAGGTTGAGGCCGAAGTTTTAAACACGAAAACGTGTATGTCTGACGTTCAGCGCCGCTTTCCTGTAAGCCTAGAAGTTTGACAATAGTGTTTGGAATGTTGAGAATGATTGCACTGACTATCGAACACCATTGTCAAACTTCTAGGCTTACAGGAAAGTGGTGCTGAACATCCGACGTACACATTTTCACATTTAAAACTTCGGCCTCAACCTTGCTAATATTGAAAATAAGTATGCCAATTTTTTTTTATTCTGACTTATGGCTGAGAGACATGGACATTGACAGCAAAAATAGCTTGAAAATTATGGATTACATAGAGCATTAATAAACAGCTCTTCTGGATGTGAGCTGTAAGTGAACTTCATAGGGTTCCACTGATTGCATGCAATTTTTCTTATGGAGATGCAGACTGTAAGCCTCTGAGTATCAATATATTCCATAACCACCAGTTCAGGAACCAGTGCTGGTCCGTGAAAAATATTTGACTCATACTGATGGTCGTGCATTTGATCACAAATGACATTTAAATAGTAATCTAGAGTTACTGTATGTACTTTGTTATGTACAGTAACTCCAGATAATCATATATAACTGTAATAAATAAACATAATTTGTAGTTACAATTAATTACTAGTCTTTGTAAAATTATCCATAATTTTACCATTCCATAATGAAAAAAAGATTAAAAAACACTGTACTAAGTAGTAAAATAAAATATGCTAAAGATATGCAAACTAATTATGTATAGTTTATTCTCATTTTTCACTAGTAGGATTTTGTTTCAATGTTCTTTGTCATAAATACCAGCTTAATTAGGGTTACACAATGGCTTGAGGCATAAAAAGGATAATAAAATTACAGAGTCAAAAACCCAGGGATTGTATATTCAGACTTCACAACCACATATTGCCCTTGGGCTGTTGTTGCTCATGACTGGCATAGAAAAACATGGATAGATATATGTTGGGAATTATGAGAAGACCAAAGGAGAAATACTGGGATAAAAAAACAAGTCTCAGACCTAATCATTAGCATAAAGAAACTGAAATAAAAATGGGCTGGCCACATCATTTAAAGAAATGATAAGAGATAGACAATACAGGTTCTTGATTGGCTGCCAAAAAATATGAAATGTCTATGTATGAGATGAACATATGAAACAAAAAAATTTATTAAAATAATTTGGAAGTAAAAGAATAAGGATTGCAGAATTTGTAGACTTTGAAGAAGCTTTTATCTTGCAATAAATTCAAAAGATTGTTTTTGATGACAACAGCTTCATTACATATTCACTATAAAACCTAAAACTTTCCTATATTAATGAGAGATTTTATAGATTTTCTCTTTAGCTCTCTGGAAACAGAAACTTCTCTATGACATAGAACTCTATTGCTCAACTTTCATACACACTTTTAGGAATGCATTATGTCAAAAAGTAAGGGACTACCAGTATATCAAATTTTTCATTTCAATAAATAAAATATGGTTCAACTATCCTTGTTTCTAATATTTTACAGATAATCAAAATTGTATAAATAAAAGCATTTCATTTTTAAATGTATAGCAACTGGAGATTAATTTTAAAAATTATAAACTCATTATAATATGATAATTGATATATTCTTTATTTGTTCAGTTCTGGAACATTTTGATCTTGTACATACTAATATGACAAATTTATAATAAATTAAAAGCAATGAATTTTAATTATTATGAATTGTTTTAGAATTTACTAAAATTGATTTCTTTGTTATATAAAATTTAATTATTAATCAAATCAGTAATAAATAACTATGAGACAACTAATCTTATTATGATTATAGATTCATTCTTTCGTTAACATCATGGGACATCGTGCTTTAACGGATAAAAATTGGAAAGGTGTGTGATGAATCTGTAATCATAACAATAAGGCCAGCAGGTTCTTAGTTATTTATTACTAATTAATAGATAATAACATATTAAAAGCTTATATCAAATTACTAAATAATAATTAAATTACTTTTCTACAGATATGGGATAAATAATGAATTCTTAGTTAAACTATATCTTATTATCAATAAGTTTTTCAAAAAGGATATCATCATGAAAATAAAATTTGAGCATTGGCACCATTAATTTAACAACTTCTTCCACATAGGGAGCAAACCCTTCTTTCAATTCTCGAGCATAACAAACTAACATTTGGCATGCTGTAGCTTTTTCTTCTAGACCTGCAGTTCGTATTCCAAAATTTTGCTGAAATATTAAACGTTACAATAAATTCATAATTTCTTTTATTTGTTTCAAATTACACTACATAAAAACTGAACAAACAGTTTTCAACTGGTTAAGCTGACATTAAGCTAACATGATTAAGTAACATATATTATATATATATATACTTACAACTAAAAGAATTTCTCTATCTTTTCTATTGATACTTCAATTTTTTATTTGTAATTTTTAAAATTTATTAAATACCTAAATAAATTTTATTTTCATTCAAATGTATTCTATAAATCTTTAAATCTCTGTGGTTTTAAATATTTAAAAATTCTGAAATATCATTTTAAAAGTCTATCAAAAATTGTTACAAACAACACTGTAAACTGAACTCAAGAATTTGAGGAAAATACTTAATTTTTTAGCACAACTACTTTAATAAAAATTTTAACTGCTATATTTTTCTATAATGTTTATCATTTGACATTTAAATATTGTAAAATAATAATCCCAACTTCTAGATATAAACAAAGCAGTAATGTGAAGTTTTTTAATATTATATACCTTATACTTAGCAAATTTTAACAACATACAGTGTTTGTTTTGGGACATAATTGAAAACAGACTAACACCAAGATATTTTTATGTCTTAAAACTTCACATCACAATTACAAAACTGAAAATCAGCAAATTTACCTGCTCTCCAAGGCTCACAAACTGCCAGTCATCATCATCTTCAACAACTTTCATGTCTTCACCTATATATATTAACAATTTTTAAAATTATTAAAATAAAATTATTCTGTAATGTTAAAACTTAGAATGTTATCCTTAAAAACTATTACATTATTTTCTGAAAATATGTGAAGTGCAATAAATAGTTAAGAATATGAATAATTTTTAAATTAGATTTGAATTACAAACAATAAAAAACTTACTGTCAAGGAGTGCAATCTCTGGTTTCAATGAAGCAGCTTTTAAAACTGGACCCATCACGTATGGTAAATATGGCTCAAATTGTTTGCCAAGAATTTTGCAAATTCTTGCCCAAGCAGATATCATATAGGCTAACTTATAATTGAAAAATTATTATGTAATGAATAAGCCCATATTCAAAAAAGTTTAAAATATTTAAATTACCTGTGGATCATCATCAGCCATCATGTTACCATCAGTCTGACTTTTTAACAACATATCCATAACACCGCTAGCATCAACCATGAACTGTTAAAAGAATCAAAAAAGAATATAGACTTCATTTCAAATTTTTGTAAGTTTTTTAAAATTTAATCATTACATTAGAACAACTACAGTAATAACAAAATATCCATTACTACTAGTCTTCAAAATATTCTTTAAAAATAAATCCATATTTAACTTTAAAAAATTAACAGTAATATAATGGCCAGAAAATTTATTAAAATTATTTTTATAGTTAAACAATCTAAATATAAACAAGCAATTATTTATTGTAACATTGTCACAATGTCGTCATGCAATTTTTAATCATATTTTTAATTTAAAATATATGCTATTCACTTCAAATTAGTAGCTGTCTTGCCCCTGTACACCATACTTTTCCTTTCAGCAATATAGTTGTGCTGGTCATCTAACTAATTCCTTTCAGAGATAAATTTTTTAATTGAAATAACATGACTTCTGGTGCAAACCAAAAGTTTGTATATAGTTAATTAGGATCTTGTGGCCCTAACTGTTCCATATCTAGTCATAAATTTCATCTACCTAACTCCATTCTTGAGATTAAGGACAAACGGACGATGGGAATTTTTTTTATAGGTCTACAATTTTTTCAAATTGCAACCCAACTAATCATTAATAATATCAACACTGTATAACAGCATATAATCACATTTAATATAAAAAATTTTTATGTAACTTTATACATAAAATAAAGGTCACAAAACTGAAATTATTATTACTGTTCATCATTTTCAAATAATAATAAAACAATAATCAAAAGTTTATAAAATATTAATTCTTGTGTAATTATCTATAAATATTAATATTAATTTTTATTTTCTGATTAAGAAATTTCTGTATTTGTAATGTTCACTTTCTGTAAACGGAAATGAACAATTTTATTTTCTGTTTAAAATTCTAGAATAGAAAAAATACTTTAAACGTTTTGTGAGATTAATACTTTAGGAGGGACTCGCAGGTGGTGACAGCCACTCTCCTAGAGGAGTAAACCTTGAATAAAAATTCCAACCTACAGGTTGGAGGTTGAGACATGGGGTCAGCTCCCCCATTCTCGGAAAAAACTAAATGCTAAAAAGACCAACAGAAATAAGCCAGGTGGATATTCAGGATGACGAAAAAGGCTATGGAAAAGGACAATGATTATAGGAACATGCAATGTGCAAAGTATTAATAATAAAAAGTGACTAATTATCTCGGAATTAAACAGAATACAAGATATTATTGTATTAACAGAAACCAAGGGACAGAGTGCTTATAGAGGATAAATATCTACATTTTTACAGTGGAGTACCAAAAGATACTAGATCAAAAAGCGGAGTTTCCGTTCTGATATTGACAAAATATAAGAAAAATGTTACATCTTGGGAAGCAATAAATGAAAATATGACAAAATTAATTTAACTCTATTTGCTAGAAATATTACAATTTTGGGAATATATATGCTTTAAGTGAAGTGAAAATAAATTAGATAAAGATGAATTTTTGAGAAATTAAGTACTATAATAAATAATATTCGCAACAATAGAGAAATTATAATGACAGAGGATTTTAATGGCCAAATTGGTAAAAAGCATAAGAACCAAACAGTTGGACCTCTTTGGATATAATAACTGATAATGATGAAAGATTAATTGAACTATGTATGTAGAACTCATTAAAAATAACAAATAGGTATTCCAACATAAAGATAAAGATAAATACACTCGACATCAAAACACATTGAATTCAAAATCAATATTGAACTATATCATTGTAAAACAGAATACTGCACTATTGCTCCAAGATATCAGAATTTTTAGGGGGATTGATTGTGGAAGTAAAAGAATATGTGATCATAATGTGATTAATAGTAAAATAAATTTTCCATACTTTAAAGTTAACACTAGTATCAATAATGAATTAGAAGGGACAGAATTACAAATTCCAAGATATAATCTACTCTCTTTACAAAATGAAAGTACTCAACTATTGTACCAGAAACGACTAGATGATAAATTAGGGGAAACCTACTTTGATACAGTGCAAGAACAATACAATCATATAGTGCAGAGTATACATCAAGCAGCTAAAGAAGCATTATGAGAAGTTAAATAAGGAACATGTAAGACAAAAATGTATTATTGAAATAAAGAAATAGCAGAACTGGTGAAAAATAAGAAAAATTTATATTTAAAATAGCTAAATATAAAAATATAGAAGATAAAATAGAGTATAAGAAACTTCAGGCTGTTATTAGAAGAAAAGTACCGCAAGAAAAGAATAACAATTGGGAGAAAGTTTGTAATACCATACAAACTTATACAGGTGGAAGACAAAATACTGAAGCATTCAGAATTTTGAAAAATTTAAGAAATGATAATAAGAGAACCAATACTATTCAGTACACATCACTAAATAAATGGAAAGACTATTTTAATAATCTTTTAACAGAAAACAGAAATGAATATATGATTTATAATACAGAGAATGAGATAACATGAAAGATGACTATTCAAATAGATATGAAACTTAATAAATAGATATGAAAATAGAAAAATATGAGATAACATGAAAGATGACTATTCAAATAGATATGAAACTTTTTGAAAGTATAATTAAATCTTTAAAAAATAATATAAGTTAGTGGTATTGGTGAGATACCAGCAGAGCTAATTAAGTGTGGATCTGATAGGTTACTTAGAATTTGCAAAAACTTAATGGAACAATGTATAAATAAAGAAGATATCCCACAAGACTGGAAAATTGGGTATCTGTCACCAATATACAAAAAAGGCAAAAAAGATAAGTGTAAGAATTACAGAGATATTACTGTGACATGTACATTCAGTAGGAACAAGCAGGTTTTAGAAGTGAAAGATCCACACTTGATCATATTTTCTGTGTTAGACAAATAAAGAGAAAAAAGTTGCTAGAAATCAAACTCCACATTTGTTATTTATTGACTTAGAAAAGGCATATGTTAGTATACTTTAAAAAATTATGGTATAATATATATAAAAAATAGTATATTAAAAAATTATACCATAACTCTATTGTTAAAATTAAAATAGCAACAAGATTATCTGAAGGATTTCTGGTTACAAAAGATTTATGCCAAGGTTGTTGTATTTCCCCAACATTATTTAAAATTTACATTCAAAAGGCTATGGAAATATGGAAGAGAAAATGTAGTAATATGGGTCTAATGGTTGGAGACAATACTGTATATACATTATTATTTGCAGATGACCAATTAGTTATAGCTGATGATTATGATGATTTAAGATATATGACAAGAAAGCTGAAAGAAGAATACAATAACTGGGAACTAAATATAAATATGGAAAAAACTAATTATATGGTAATTGGAACTGAAGACATACATGATTTAGTTTTGGAGGAAAATGGAAAAATTGAACTGATTAAGGATTTGATAAATTTAAATATATATGAACAAAATTACTAATGATGGTCAGATGAAAATTGAAATTAAGGACAGAATTATAAAAGGAATATCTATGATAAGAATGTTAAATGGAATCTTATGGGATAAACAAATCTTTAAATAAAACATGATAAACATATATATATTATTAGTTCTAAGTGTGATAACATAGGGAGCAGAAGTGTGGGTATTAAATTCAAAATTGAAATCTAAATTAAAATCCACAGAAATGGACTTTTTGAGAAAATCTGCTCAATGTTCAAAACTAGATAAAGTAAGAAATGAGGAAATTAGGAAAAAAATGGATTACCAAAACTCTATAGTCAATTATATCCATAACAAAACAATTAACCTAGTATGGCCATGTTCGGAGGATGAAAAAAGGTAGACTACCACAACAGATATTGAAATGGATTCCGTCAGGCAGAAGGAGGAGAAGAAGGCTGTGGACTACATGGATAGAGGAAGTAACAAAAGCTATGGAGCATGAAGAACTGACAGAGGAAGATTGTTGAAAAAGAACAGAATGGAGAAGAAAAGTTTGAGCACAGGAAGATGCTTAAGCATTATTAACCTGTACAATAATATTAATAATAATTCTAGAATAGCCACATAAAAAACCAGAAACATTTAATTCTTCTTAAAATTATTGGGCTGCAATTTGAAAAAAGTGTAGACCTATACATTCCTAATGTCGTCCATCTGTCTTTCCTTAATCTTGAGAATGGAGTTACATAGATGATAGCAGAGACCAGATATGGAAAGATTAGAGACATGAGGCCCTGATTAACTACATACAAACTTCCAATGCAAACTGAAAGTCATTATTTCAATTCAAAAATTTTCTCTTCAAATAAGTTAGATAGATAACTGGCACAACTGTTGTTAAAGAAAAAGTATGATGTACAGGGGCAAGACACTACATTACTAATTTGAGATGAAAAGCATATATTTTAAATTAAATTAATTAAAAACATGATTAAAAATTGCAGCCCGGCATTGTGATGATGTCACAATAAATAACTGCTCAATTTTCTAAATTTAAGTCAATAAATTTAAGTCAACATTCCACACTAAATTTAACATATTACAATATTCTATAATGTACATTAAACAGTTAGAAAAAGAAAGAATTTTATAAATAATAATTATTTTAAAATAAGTCTTTACATCAATAAAGTTGATATTTTAAACTGAAATAAAATAATCTAAAAAATTTACTTATTACAAAATAATAGTATATTAATCTGAATTATAATGGCTGACAGTATGTTTTAAAAAATTAAAAATTTGAAGAAACTAAGTTGTCTTCCTTTATTTTTGTTTGTGATTGGACATAGCAGTGTCTTTCTTTGCAGAGACAACCTTTTATTGGAGGCTACACCTCTGCAGAATTATTCAAAACAGTTAAAAGCATTCACTGATAATAAGTTTGTTGTTTTTGTTCCTGGTGATTGGACATGGCACAAAGAAAAAACCTAGTTTCTTCAAATTTTTAATTTTTTAGTATATTAATAATTTGTGATTTTTAATACATTTTACTACAAAACAGAGAAGTTAATTTTAACTATAGTAAAGAAATAAAATACATAAAATAAGCCAGAAGTTTGAATTTTACATTTATTCCATAATTTCATTTATTTATTATATTTACTTTGCATGTGCATTTTTTCCATTTGAATTTTATATTTATTCTATGTTTTTATTTTATGTTTGATTTTCAATGTTCTATTTTGGTATAACTGAGGAAGATCATTTAAAACAATTGAAAACGTTTTTATGGTATTAAAAATCGTTTGCTGGATTGATAAAGGCATGATTTTTAACTGAAATAAAATATTTACTATTATTTTAGATTGACTTAAAATTTTATAATATATATCTATATAAAAACAAAATAAGTAATGACTCATTAATTGAAAACAAACAATAAAAATTTGATTACAATCATATTTTTTATTTTAGTTTTATGAATTTTTTAAATTTTTATGAGATTATATAAATTCTATTCAGGTTTTTTAGAACTAATGTAAAAGAAATTTTGAAAAGGAAAGCAATAAACAACAATAAAACACAGACTTTGTGCCATATTACTAAAATTTATTTTAATACAGTTATTTTGATCCATTGCTACACAAAGCAATTATAGAACACTAATATGTTAACACTTCATTAGCAAAGAAATTTAAATGATTTTTAATGAATCACTGCTAATAAACCTAGATTGAAAATGTTATATCTACTTATTATAATAAAAGCAGGAAGTCCATCTGTGAAAAAGTTGATTTATAACTATTCAAAAGATATAGAAAATATAGTATTTATAAAATTATTATTCTTAATGTAAGATAAAATTGAGAAATTGTCAACAAATTAAAGAATATACAGCTGTGTCTGTGTGTGTTTTTTTCTATGGGAAAAAGACTTCCTGCAAAGGAAATTCATAATAAAGAAATGTTTTCTGTTTCTAGTGAGAAGTGTTTGTTGCATACAACAATATACAAATGAGATAATAAATTTTTCCAAGGACACTCAAAAATCGTTGAAGAAGACTGGTCTAATGATGGTTGAAACTGCAAGAGAGGCAGCTGTGTAGCAGATGGAGATGATATGCACTAACAGGCAACTGTAGCTGATAGGTAGCTGTAGACAGTATAGCAATTGCACTAGTGTTCTTATTGGGGACATTCCAATTTTCACACCAGTGTTGAGTGTTGAAGTCAACAATTTGATGTCATCAATGATGTTCCAACTGGAGTATAAAGTGCTTAATTCCCATAATTCCATTCTCAGCAAGATGGATTCCATTCAAATATCACACCAATCACCCACAATTCATTGGAAAGTAGCAGTCAACATGTCCATTGAGTGCTGAGTGTGTTGAAACAGCACCACTTCAACGTTGAAAAAAGGAACGATTTTTAACCTGTCCTATATTGATCCCGAAAATTTTCGGGTTGACCTCATTGATCTGCGTGGGCGATCCCAAATATTTCCGTGTTTACATTGGAACGTTTTTGATACTAGATGTCACTTTGCGTCACAATTTTTATATTAAAACAAACTTTAAAATTTTTTTTGTTTTTATATTATTCAATATATATATTTTGCTTGTGAAACAGTAAACATGATTATTATTTAAAAAAAAAAAAATTTAGGCTTAACATTGATGAAAATTCAACATGGTGTCACAGGCAATAAATAAAAATTTCAACATCAAATAGATTAACAAACATTGAGATCAGTGCTGAGTCAGCATTGAAAATTGGAATGTCCTGTAAGGTTTAGCCTGCACTATAATGTATTGTTTGAATTTCAGAAAGTGTGTGCATGGTAGTTTATTATAGTTTTGGAACAGTTTACTAAGATTTTGCATATTAAACTTTTAGCAAGATTCATTATTATACTATAATTACAGTTCTGTATGTCAGTTTTTTCATAATTCCACTTAGGTAACCACCTTACTTGTGTAGCCAGAAATTATGTACTTTAAAGATGGCCATATATGTGAGGTTTTACAGTATGTATACATACATCTTCATTTCTTTATTTTTCCATGTTTAATTCTTTCTGCCTTATGGTCATTACGAGAATCTTTTTTTGTGCCCATCACGGGTTGGACCAGGCTCACAATAGGGTGGATGGGTAGTGAGGGATGAAGACTGACATATCCAAGACAGATCACAAATGAAAAGTTCCTGGATTTGTTCATTCAGATTTGATCCTTGGTCACCCAGAGTTGTAGATTATAGTCTTAACTTCCTCAGTCATCTATGCATATGTATCATGAAAATTAATATCAGCTTTTCTAATTAGTTTTATTAACCGTTTTAGAAATGAATTAGAGATTTCATTTTCTGAAACTTCAATTATATTTTTAGTTATCAAAACAATATCAAGCCATTTCAATTAATGTTAATTTTCATGAAATTCAGAAATACTTATAAATTAAATTATTAAATAAAATAAACAAAGCAAAAACTATTAATTACTAAATTGTTAAAAATTTAGTATTTTTAACCTTTTCTCTTCCTACAGCCAAACCAATTAAACTGACACATTCTATTGTTTTTCCACGTAGTAATCTCAGTTCTTGACTTGTAGCATTCTCAATAATATATTTCAAACAAGGCATAAATCTAAAATCAAAAACAGTATACCATTAAAAAAATTTAATATCTAAAAATTTTACATAATTAACTAACTTGTTACAAATATGACTGACAAATTTAATTGGAAAATTTGCACCATTTTTTTTTAACTATTAAAAACAAATTGCATACTTTATAATAAATCTATAATAAAAAATAAATTATCGTCATTCTCTTAAAACCCATCGCTATCACAAAGGTAAATGAAAACTGTCATGAAATTCAGAGAGAATAAAGAATAATGATTATTATTCTATATATCTTTAAATTAGTCAAACTTTTTTCATTCAAAACATTCTGTAGGAATATAAAATAAAATTAAGAAAATACAACAATGAACCATAACCTTCTAGCCGAATAGATTTATCTTTTCCAAATCACTATAAACTTTCACCTCAACATGTAACTGTTTGCTTTAATCTTAAAAAACTACTACTTTCTTTTTAGTATTGGCTTTTGTACAATTGCCAATTGCAAATTACATAATTGAACATGAATTTATCATTTTTATCAGCTATGATGATTATAATAAATAATAATACTGTTAAATACATAGCACTGTATTTTTAATGTAATCTAGTTTTGATATTATCAAAGATAGTTCTACATCATGCAGCTATTCAATAGCATCTTCCATGAACATTGTCATAGAAAACAATTTTTCGTTGTGTTATCAAGTAAGCTAAAAAATAAAGTGCAAGGTTTATATGAACCAATACATTTCAATCATATAAAATTAAATTTCATCTGTTCACAAATTCATTGGTTTTCAATCTATCACAAATTTTTAAAAATATTTAGTGTTGTTAGTATTTCAACTAGTAAATATTTGGGTGTTTAATTGAGAATGATTTAATAACTTGATTCAACATTTAGATTTTTGGATATCATCAACTTTCACTGATTAGCCTATTTGTGATTTCTTTTATAAAACATTTGACAAAATCTTGAGAACTATCTATGAAAGTTTTTATCCTGTCTTCTCCAAAAATTTCATAAATGTACTGGAATCTGCTACGTTATTTCTCACTCCTACAACTTGTACATCATCACATATCTCAAATACACTTTATTTTCATTGATTTTAAAAATTTAGTCATTCGAATATTGTTTTACTCTGCATATCATAACATACTTTCTATAAAAATGACACCAATGAATGATTATTTATTTATTATAAAATTTGAATTGTGAATTTTTCAGACAACTTGATATATATATAAACAATTTATATACTAGTAATTTTAATGCTATTAACAATTATATACACACAAACAGATATTTATTCTAGAATACATATTCAATTTTTTCATAAAAGAAAATCAAATTTTCTAAAATAATGCTGAAATCTGTTTTATTTAATTTGTATATTTTTAATAAATTTTCACTTGAATACTAATTCTTAAAATATTTAATCATGTTTTGTTACAAAAAAATTTATTTTATTCTAATCATTTTTGATTTAAAATTTGAGATATATATTAACTAAAAATGAAACTTACATACTGATAAATAAATAGTTATTTTGAAATGGTATTTATATGATTTAATATATTTAAACATAATATAAAGNAAATCTTATAAAATAAATATATATACATATAATATAATATAAATTTAAATGTTATGCCTGAATGGTTTTTTATATAATAAAAACAATAAAACTGATTGCTTTCTTTACATAATTTGATCAAATTATATAAAGAAAGCAAGAATAATTTGATAAAAAATTTTATATGAAATAGATGATAAAATGAAATTTAAAAAAACTGATTGCCTTAAAATGAACTTTATAATCTTCTGATTTGGAATTTCAACTAAATTTAGAGATTAATATAAATAAGTAAAAGTTTTGAAATAACAATAAAATTATACCTAATTTCTTTATCATAAAACTTCTGTAAATAAAAAATGGTATCACAATTTTATTGATGTAATGAACTTAATGAAATCTATAAAAGACAAAGAACAAAAAATGTGATGGTTTTCAAAATTTTGTTATATTTATAGACAAATAATGAGGAATGTGCTGTGCATTGTACCACTACAGTATGAAGTTGACACTCTGTCTCTATGAATGTGGAGAACTGGTCAGTGGGTGAACATGCCTTTATTGTAAAGGCATTTATCAATTTTAAAGGCAATTGATAATCCAGGTCCAGAAAAGATTTTGGCATAATTTTAAAGTTGCGTGACATAGAGAAATTCCTTTTCATAACACTATTCTGAAGCACATGGAAAAGATTCAATAACACTGGCCATGTTCAAGATCAATTTACCAGTCCAATTTATTAATTATCACTTAATTTCTTAAAAATAAGTGGTAATTAATAAACTGCATGTTTTTCCTGTGCATGTTTATTGTTCTAAAATAACCCCAGTGTCATACATACAAAACTTCTTTAAAAATCCATCATATTCTCGTGCTGATCCTGCACATCTATATGAAATCATTATTTAAAAAAATTTTAAATCTTATTCCTTATTAAATAAATAAATTAAACAAAAATAAAATGTATTTTAAAATATTCACAGTACCTATCATAATATTTTATAAATTTTTCTTCAGCTGTGTCAGCAACAGATGCTAATGTAACAACCATTTGTTCCAGCACCAATTTTGTACCTTTTTCAACTAACTAAAATGATTAAAAATATTACTATACTAAACAATGTTCAAAATTTTTATAAAAATTGTAAAAAATAACATTTTAAAAATTCAATAATTACATATATTACTAAATTATTGTTATTTCAATGAGGTTTGATTCATTATCAGAGGACTAAAAGAATCATATAAGCATTAAGAACTAAAAAAATCATTTGTTATAATTTTTAAATTACTTGAGTTTTTAGTACCTAGATAGCCTAGCATTCATTACAACTTATAACTAAGACTGAGACATCTAGACACTAAAAATCATGTAAGTTAAATGTTTGCCTTAATGAGTACATTTGATAATATTTTATTTGTGATGAAACGAAATAAAATTAGAATTGTATTAATAAATCTAATTTTCTTTATTTTGATCTCTAAAAGTCATACCTCGTTCTATATGTGAAATCATCTTATACGTTAGTAAATATGGTAAGTTTGTAATATGAAAAAGTATATCAATGGTTTGCATACTACTATTAAATAAAAAAAAAGGAGAAAGAAAATTGTTTTTTCATGTACTTTTAGAAAAAACAACAATTTATAAAAATTAATATTAAAAAAATATATAAATTATTTATTTTCTTACTTCTTTAAATTTTGAGCTAAGAACAGTCTCTAACTTGGCAACAATACTATCCAAGTATGGGATAAGAACATTCTTTGGGCAATCTTCAAAAAAGTTTACTAAAGCAGCTCCTGCATGGGCTTGAACACGAGGATTTGCATTATCATCCAATAAATGAAGCAAGCCAGGTATCACCTAAAAAAAATATTAACAACATGATTAACATTTTTAAAAATTTCAATAGAAAAATTTAAATTATCAACAAAAAACTTTCTATAATATAACTTTTATAAAATCATTTATTGCACTTTTGTATGTATTAATTAATACATATATAAGCATAATGTTACAATAAGTTCACAAAATTTAAAACAATGGGATTGGTAAAATTCATATTTTTTTTTTTTTTTTTTTAAATTCTAAAAATTAATAAAATAATTTTTAGATTAAAACCAAGTATAACTACTCTTTCTTATCCAATTTTGAGTGATTCATTTTAGCAGACAAACAAATAACAAAAAAATACTAAACTATAACTTTAATTACCAATAACTTTATGTTCATAAAATCCAAATGCATTTCACTTACAAAATGAAGCCTGCTCAGTGGACACAATGAACTTTAACAATTTCTATTCCTTTTATATGGTTAAACGAATATGAAGCTGCTATTAGGTTAAAAAGACAAGAATCACCATGGTATCTACATAGTAATAAATTTAATTGTAAAATAGATAGGAATAATGTTAAAATATTACATAAAGTAAAAAATTGTTTCAAAAGAATAATAATAGAACATTTTTGTATGGTAGCATATGCAAATGTGATAAATCTGAATACTGGGATGAATGTAGATGCATGCTAGGAAAAAAATCACACAGCATAAAAGAAACAGAAATTGTTAAAGTTCATTGTGTCCACTGATCAGGTTTCATTTTGTAAGTGAAATGCATTTGGATTTTATGAACATAGAGTTATTGGTAATTAAAGTTATAGTTTACTATTTCTTTGTCTGCTAAAATGAATCACTCAAAATTGGATAAGAAAGAGTAGTTTTAATTGGTTTTAATCTAAAAATTATTTTATTAATTTTTAGAATTTACAAAAAAAAAAAAAAGTTTCAGTAAGTTTTCTGGATAAATTCCTAGATTTAATTATTTTTTTCTTATTACCCTGATTATTATTACTATGGTATATATAAATAACAAAAACAATTCTCACAGATGAACTGAAATGATAATCTTTAGTTAATTTTATCAGAAATGAAGTTAATATGTTTATCAAATGATGGTAAAGGTTTTATTTAGATACTTTATTTTAACAGGAGAATTTAGAAAAAATTATTAAAGAGAAGTCAGTAGATATGCAGAAGTGCCCAAGTCTTGAAAAAAGTGTTATTAATTAAACCAGCTTTAACATCAGACTCATTGATATTTTTATTCATTCAGTGTTGCAAATGGCATATCAGTGATGTATTCCAATCATCACTGATTTACACAGTTACACTTTTACAAAATATAATAAGATTTTGTATAACTATATTGAACAAATATGTAATTGTATTTTTTTTTTTTATTACTAAATTCTAGAAACAAATTTAATTTGTCAAATGTATGTAAAGATTTATTTTATTTGAAACATCATCTGTCAAAGGGATCTCAGCAAACAATCTGAAAACTAAAAACAAACCTAGTTCACTTAAAATTGCTTTAAACAGTACACTGAGTTTAGAAATGCATGGTTTTCTTCTTCTGTTAGCCATATACTGTAAATTGGGATAAATATTACTTTTGGACAGTCCTGTCTGGCCATTTAATTGAGGTTGCCACAAGTTGGAATTTGATATATATTACAACTTAGGTACTTTTATAGGTAACTGCAAGGATGGCTACAAAGCAAGATTCTATTGTATACTTATGTAGAATTTTTTTACACATAAAAATTACATATAATACAATACATATTTAAGTTGAATTTTATGGAAAAAGATACATTCCCTGTGATATAATATTTAACATCTCCCATTTGTTATAAAAACAGAATGCAGCAACTTATGCTTTTGTTAGATAACAATGATTTTAGCAAATCTTGTATAGCCTAGCGACATTTAAAATAAGTGTTTAATTTCCACAATATACAATTTGGTTCCAAAGGAAAGAATGATAATTAGAATTTTCTAAAAATCAGTTTAAAAAATTGTATATTTGGATATTTTGAGTACTATAATTATCTATAATACCCAAGTCATAAAAAGTTGGTACTTGCTTTCTCGAACTTCACTAACATTCAGAAATTTACGTAATACATTAACAATAATAATTATATAAAATTGCTTAAAAGCAATGTGTAATTTTATATTCTAATGAAACTGAGAATATAATTAATTATCACACAATTACTTTAAAACTTATAGTAAAATAAAAATAATAATCAAGTAAATTTTACCTTTTCATGAAATTTTTTTTCAAAAATTGGAGCAAAATCTGCAGCCATTTGACCGATACAATTGCAAGCTGCATATCGAACTCTGGGATGCTGCAATTTTAAAATTATTTAATATTTAAAAAATTACAAAACATAATCAAATTTAAGTAATTTTACAGAATTTCAATTCTTAATCTAATTAATCTTTATGATGTTATAAATTTCATTTACACATGACTATAAACTAAAATTTTCAGAAAAATTTTTCTGAAAATTAGTATTGTTTAAGGAGACACATGGAGGTGAAAAACTTTTTTGGTTAATGAGATTTAAATCCCGAAGTAACTGTCATAGTGTAAAAATTATGTGATGAAGCAGAAGTGCGGAAGTTGCGGTGGTGGCTGCTTTTCCTAAGGAATTTCAGGGATATGTAGAACAAGGCAACTATTGTCCACATCTAGTCTTTAACATTGATGAGACTGGACTTTATTGGAAAAAGTTACCAGAAAAAGCTTTTATTTCTCATGAAGAATATTCCACTCCAGGTTTTAAAGTTGCAATAGATAGATTAACTCCTTTGTTGGGAGCCACTGTTTCAGGAACTTTGAAACTTAAACCAATGTTAGTGTATCATTCACAGACACTGCATGCTTTAAAGGGTCTAAATAAAGATATATTGCCAGTTTATTGGAAATGGAACAAGAAAGATTGGGTCACACAAGATGTTTTCATAGATTGGTACACAAGTTATTTTTGCCCTACTGTGCTTTGCTTTTTTGAAGAAAATAAATTACCACCCAAGGCACTTCTCTTGGACAATGCTCCAGGACATCCTCAAAACTTTAATGAAATAAGAACACCATTCGATGTCAAGGTTGTTTACATGCTTTCCAATACAACATCTCTTTTGCAACCAATGGATCAGGGAGTTATTGCAACCTTCAAAGCTTATTATCTCCGTAAAAAATTCATGAAAATGATGAAAGTTTCAGACACTTCAGACGAAACAGTTAAAGACTATTGGTGGTCTTTCCATATTTTGAAAGGCATTAAAAACATGAGGTTGGCTTGGAATGAAGTTTCAGCAAAATGCTTAAATGGAGTTTGGCATAAACTTCTGCCAGCATTCATGCATAATTTTGAAGAAGTAGCACATCAGGACAATTTAATTGAAGGCATTACCAGACTTGCACGTGATGCGGGACTGGAAGATGTTACAGCTGAAGATGTGACAGAACTTTTAGAAGCCCATGATCAGCCACTCCTGAATAAAGATTTAGAACAATTATATAAAGAATTAGATTGTGAACAGTCAGAAGGAAAAAAATGAAGAAGAAACTCCAAGAGTTATGAAAACGGTCAATCTAAAGCATATCCTTTCAACTATGGAAAGCTTGACAGATGCACTTTGTGAGTTAAGGAAGTTTGCAGTTGTCTCATGTTACTAGACTGACAGGAGATCTGAAAGTCATCCACATACAGAAAGTGTTTCATACTGGGAGGGAGCTATGCTGTTAATTTTAATTAGAACAGAGTCACACTCAAAATAGGACCTTGAGGAACACCTTGTGTAAAAGGCCTGTATAAAGTGGTGTCCATCCTAACTTGGAATCTTCGATTCTGTAGGAAGTTTTTTATAAAAACTAACGAATTACCCCTGCAGTCCAAACTGGTGAAGATCACAGAGTATTTTGTATCTGCCAATATTAAACCTAGAAAAGAAATGAATCTGCATATTCTGGGTTGCAACTATAAACAGTGTCTTTCATAGTTGAAGCCAATATCTTTACAGAATCTCTACGTAATCTTCAAGTCTTTTGTTGTCTGTTTCTACCACAAGAAGGCTAAAGCCTAATTGCTGATATCTATTGATTTCACCATGCTTGATTGGTCAATATATATTTCTAGAATGCTGACATTGACTAGTAAGAGTAACCATTGATCTCACCTGACATGAATCCCAAAGAATCGCATAACCAAGAAAAAGTGTACTTATAACAACATAATCTTGTCAATATGCATTCTGGAGGGCTATTCATGATGGAGGAAAATGCATTAGATAATTTCATAAACAGTTTGATAGAATAGATATACAGTGGAACCTCGATATTTGTCATTAATCTGTTCCTAAGGACCTAACAAATATGGAATATGATGAATATAGAAATAATTTTTCTCATTATAAATAACTGATATTCAATTAATCCGTTCCCACCCTGAAAAAAAGATACAAGAATGAAAACTATGCTGTTTTTTAAAACTTTATCTTTATTTTACTAAATAAATACAGTATAGTGATAGAAGGGGAAGAACAGTATTAT